ATTCAATTAAAAGGAACTTTTGAGGTTTTAGGGTTTAAAAAAGCTCCGCATGCATTTGCTTTTTTGTTCAAATCATTTTTTTATATTTTAATGTATTAATTCTTGGTACGTATTTCATCTGAACTAGGAATTAGAACATTACCGGTAGTTTCTATTTCCCTTGTACCTGATATTTTCACTTTCCCACTCCCAGGACTGAGAATCATGAATTTTTGAATAGTGTTCAGCTGTACACATACATACAAAGTTTTGCTTAGATATGGTGCTGCTTTAAGTGCAGTTGCCACATTGCATTAAGGAGAATGCATCACTGATTCAGTTGTCCCTTTTTCATAAAGTGGATTTCTTAATAAAGGAAACGAGAAAAGATAATTGAACATTTTTGAACATTGAACCTTGAACATTCTTGCTTAACTTATTTTGTTGTGAACTGCTTCTGTGAGTAACACTGTTTTAGGAAATCCCTAGTTTCTCCCCAAAGTTGACCAGTAACACTTGATCCATTACCTTCCTAGTATTTGATTCTGCTGATGTAGCAGGTGTAAATGATGTTCCGTTATGGTTTTAAATTATATTTCTCTGATGACTAATTAGAGTATCTTAAATTTATCAGTCATATGTCATTCTGTGGAATAACTGTTCTTGTCTTACACTCACTTTTCCATAGTATTTACCTTTTTCTTTATAAATCTGAGGAACTAATCTAGTTACTGTGAGGCGTGTGTTTTATTTTGTTACTTGTTCTTTTTGGTGTCTCAATGTAAAGAAGTCCTTTATTTTCATTTTAATAGTTTTGTCTTCTATTTCATGGGCACATTTTGTGTTGTGATTAAGAGATCATTCAGGTTTTATTTTTTTTCATGTGTCTTTATCTGGAATTGATTTTTGTTAGCATATTGAAATGCAGTTGATTTTGTATGTTAATTCTATAGCTAACTGTCTTGCAATGCTGTTTTTATTTCTAGTAACCTTCCTGTACATCGTTTTATTTTCTGCAGATCATAACTATTTTCTTCTTTCCTTTCTACCCCTTTTTGATTTCTTTTTCTTTATTGACTACCTAGGCTGTGACCTCTATGGCAATATCAAAGGAAAGTAGTTATATTGGTATTCATGTCTTGCTCTTGATAATAAATGGAATACTATAGGCATATCTTTTTTTTTTTTTCATTTATTTTTATTAGTTGGAGGCTAATTACTTTACAATATTGTAGTGGGTTTTGTCATACACTGACATGAATTAGCCATGGATTTACATGTATTCCCCATCCCGATCCCCCCTCCCGCCTCCCTCTCGACCCGATCCCTCTGGGTCTTCCCAGTGCACCAGGTCCGAGCACTTGTCTCATGCACCCAACCTGGGCTGGTGATCTGTTTCACCCTAGATAATATACATGTTTCGATGCTGTTCTCTTGAAACATCCCACCCTCGCCTTCTCCCACAGAGTCCAAAAGTCTTTTCTATCCATCTGTGTCTCTTTTTCTGTTTTGCATATAGGGTTATCGTTACCATCTTTCTAAATTCCATATATATGTGTTAGTATGCTGTAATGGTCTTTATCTTTCTGGCTTACTTCACTCTGTATAATGGGCTCCAGTTTCATCCATCTCATTAGAACTGATTCAAATGAATTCTTTTTAATGGCTGAGTAATATTCCATGGTGTAGACACCTCTTCTTGAAGAATGAGATATATTACAGGATTATCGCTGACTGTCTGGGGGGCTCAGGAACTTTCCTTTTATTTTTAGCCCTTGTTATGAAAGCTAGCCTGTCATGAAAGACATCGAATTTTATCAGATACTTTTATGCATATGAGCAAATAAGTTGATAGACATATTAATGTTAAAATCACTCTTCTGTTGTAGTCACTTTGTCATAATATATTACCTTTTTAAATGCACTACTATTTTCTGTTTTTAGGTATTTTGCTTTGGAGTTTCTCATTTGTGATTATAAATGAGATTTAGCCTAGGGGCCTGTATAATATTCCTTATCTGTTGTCTGTATTAATTTTTTGAATCAAGGTTATTACTCGCTTTATAGAATGAGTTAGGAGGTATTCTGTCTTCCACATTCTCTGGAAAAATTTATGAATATTATAATAATTTTTTTTAAGCTAAAAGTTTGGTAGAATTCCCCCGTAAAAACATCTGGACATGTGGTGTTTTTGTCTAAGTTTTTAAGCTTTTTCCGTTATTATACTACTTCTTCCCAGATCTGTTTAGGAAAATCAGTTTTCTCATAATTTGTTAATTTGATCTAGTTCTTCTGTTTTATTTGGCATGAACTTTTTCAGAGCTTTTTGTCACTTTCTTTTTAAGTATAGTCAATTTGCAATATTAGTTTCAGGCGGACAGCATAGTGATTCAATATTTTTATAGCTTATAATACTTTACAATTATTATAAAATATTGGCTGTGTTCTCTGTGCTGTAGAATATGTGCTTTTTTGCCACTTAATGTTTTAAATTGAATGATATTTGCTTTACAGAATTTTCTGGTTTTCTGTCATACATCAACAAGAGTTAGTCATAGGTACACCCTGTCCTCGCCTTCCCAAACTTCTGTTCCTTCCCTTTCCCCGTCCCACCTTCTGAGCTGTCACGGAGCCCCCGTGTGAGTTCCCTGAGCCATACAGCAGATTGCCACTGACTGTCTGTTTTACATACGGTGTTATAAAGTTCTGTATTACTCTATCCATACACCTCACCCTCTTCCTTCTCCCCTCCCACCATGTCCTTAGGTCTGTTCTCTATGTCTGTTTCTCCATTGCTGCCCTGCAGATAAATTTGTCAATACCGTCTTTATAGATTCCATATATATGTGTCACTATACAATATTTATATTCATTTTCTGACTTACTTCACTGTGTGTAAAAGGTTCTAGTTTCATCCACCTTACTGGTGGTGCAAATGTGTTCCTTTTTATGGCTGAGTAGTATTCCATTGTATATATGTACCACAACTTCTTTATCCATTCATCTGTTGTTGGACATCTGGGTTACTTCCATGTTCTAGCTATTGTAAATAGTGCTGCTTGTTGCTTATTTATTTTATATATAGTAGTTTGTGCTCTTAACCCCCTTCCCCATCTTACCACTCTTCCTTCCCTCTCCTCACTGGTAACCACTAATTTATTCTGTGAGTCTGTTTCTGTTTCTTTTTTATATTTCTCATATAAGTGATAACACAGAATATTTGTCTTTCTCTGCCTGGTTTATTTCACTAAGTGTAACACCCTCCCAGTCCATCTATGTTGTTGCACAGTGTGAAATTTCATTCTTTTTAGGGCTAAGTAATATTTGTGTGTGTGTGTGTGTTCCACATCTTCTTTATCCATTCATCCTTTGTTGGATACTTAGATTGTATCCATATCTTGGCCACTGTAAATAATATTGCTCCAAACATTGGAATGCTAATATCTTTTCGAATTAGTGTTTTCATTTCCTTAAATATTTACCCAGGAGTGGAATTGCTAGATCATGTAGTAGGTTTTTGTTGTTGTTTTTGAGCAACCTCCATACTGCACTGATTTACATTCCCACTGACTGTGTACTAGGATTCTCTCACCTCCACATCCTTGTCAGCATGTTTCTTGTGATCTTTTTGATGAGAGCCATTTTGACAAGTGTGAGATGATACCTCATTAGGATTTTGACTTTCATTTCTCTGAAGATTTGCAACTTTGAGCCTCTTTTCTTGTGCCTGTTGGCCGTCTGTTTGTTTTCTTTGGAAAAGTGTTTATTCAGGTCTAATGCTCATTTTGTCATTGAATTATTTATGTTTTTTAAAATATTGAATTGTATGAGCTGTTTATATATTTTGAATATCAACCCTTCATCAGTCAATATTATTTGTAAATATTTTCACCTCTTCAGTAGGTTGTTACTACTTCCTTTTTTGACCTTTGCTTTTTTATCAATAGTTATGGCTTTTCTTCCATTTTTAATATTAATTTCTGCCTTCCCTCTCTTTTCTTGATCTGTCACAGAAGAGATATCTTGATTCTATTATATATTTTAAAACTCTTGTTGTATTTTTGGGTTTTTTTTGTATCTTTAATTTTTTTTGCCCTTGTTATTTTCTGTCTACCTCCTCTATTCTATTATTCTTCCTTGCTTTCCTATAAAGAATGTACAGCTTATAGACTTTGAACCGTTATTTCTTTTCTAATCTAAAAATAAAAAGGCATATTTTACCTTTTCCCATAAGTGGTATTTTTAGTGAATCTCAAAATTACGTTTTCAGACATAGAGACATGTGTATTTTAAGCTTCTAATTTCATTGCATTGTGGTAAGACAGCTTTGTTACTGACTTGGTCATTGTCATTGACTTCTTGAAATTTGTGAAAACTAGCTTTATGGCTTAATTTCTGATCAGTTTTTTTTTTTTTTTTTTAAGAGTAGGTTACACTTTCTATTGATTTCTTTCGTGTGTGTGTGTGTGTGTGTGTGTGCTGGGAAATGTGATCATGCTCCTGAAGTTTAGTAACTCTCTAGCTGTTAACTGTTTCTCTAGTCCCTGACAGACTCAAAATAAATACTCAATAAGTATCTTTAAGAATAACAAATTGTTTTTATTTTTGCCTTTTTTTTTCTTTTACTTAAAAAGTGTTTTTGAACTTTTAATTTTTATGTGTACAGAAAAATGGAGACCCACAATGGGCAGTTCAGTTCATTTTCACAAATTAAACGCACTCATGTAAGCAGCCCCAAGATCGAGAAAACTGATCATTACCAGCACCCCATGCCACCCTTGAACCCACCCGTTTCCTGGTAAACCACTGTCCTGATTTCTAACACCACAGGTTACTTTCACCTGCTTTTGAATTTTACATTAGTAGAATCATAAAGTGTGTGTGGTTTTATGTCAACCTTCTGGTTGTGAGATCTGTCCATATTACTATATGTAGTTGTATTTCAGATACTCTCAGAACTTTATAATAGTTTTTACTTTTTCCCCACATTGTACTATTTGTTCTTGTTCCTTTGTTTGTAGAAGGAGCTGAAGAGGAAAAAATGGAAACAGATACTGATGCTCAGCAGCCTGAAAAGGTAAAATGTCAGTCTGTCTGAACTCTCCCACTATAGAAAAGCCACAGAGAGCACGGATTTTCACAGCATACCAGTTTGGGTTTATTTTGATCTTTTGAGTCCCTCTCGGGACTGTAAGTGATTCTGTCAGCCATTTTCACTTTCCTGGTTTAAGGTGCAGTTCTCATAAGACATAATAGAGGACATTTGTCATTTGTTTCTTTAGTGAGGATTTATCCACTCTTCAGGTTCCCTGGTGGGTCAGCTGGTAAAGAATCTGCCTGCAACGCGAGAGACCTTGGTTCGATCCCTGAGTTGGGACAATCCCCTGGAGAAGGGAACAGCTACCCACTCCAGTATTCTGGCCTGGAGAATTCCATGGACTGTGTAGTCCATGGAATCACAAAGAGTGGGACACAACTGAGTGACTTTCACTTTCACTTTAGTGAGGATTTATCTATCCACTCTTCCAGCTTCTGCTTCTGTAATTCTTTCAGACAGAGTTGGGGAAGATGAATACAAAAGACTATTGAAGACTTAGAACTATTGAATTGTAGGGTTTGGGTTCTGTACTTATGCCAGAGGAGAATTAGAGTATTGAGGAGTTTTCTGGGAGACTTAGCTGTCAGCAGAAAAATATTTGGAAAACTTAACAAGAAGGTGACATTTGAAGTATGTTTTAAAGAGCAGGTAAAATTATAAGGCTTGAAATGAAGAATGGGGAGTCAGGTATTCCAACTGTCAGTGGAGGGGGAGACACTGCAACCAGTGTGCAGAGGGCATCCAGGTGCCCAGTATGTTTGTGTCCTGATGCCTGTCTCATGGAGGCTGTAAATGTGAGGTAAGCCAAGCAGAGCAGAATTGTCATGCCTCTTCAAGATTGGGGTACAGGATAATCAGTCAGCCACTGTTTAAATGAAGCAAGGATTTAAGCTCTTGATTCCTTCTGGTGTTTTATCATTGTATATAGATAAGGAGAGGAAAATTATAGTAAATTTAATAGTAAATTTAATAGTAAATTTAATGATTGTTCTTACAGCGTCTCAAATACTGTGCTTTATACTTTACATTTATGAATTAATCAAGTTCCTAAAATAGCCTTATCAAGTCAATGATAGTCTCTTCATTTTATAGATGATGTTACATAATTTGTTCAAGGATTTCAAAATCGATAAATGATGCCAGCTCCTGACCATAGAGCAACTGAAGTTTTCAGTCTCCAGAACATGATCACTGATTGCTCTGTTTTGGCTCTTCTAAGAGCCATTGCAAATGGCTGTATTGAAGAACTTTCTCAACTTTTAATTTTGGCAGCATTTCATTTTGCTTCTTGGCTAATACTGTACATCTTATGTATTTTTATTCATTTTATATATTGAAGTATAGTTTATTTGCAATATTGTGTTAATTTCTGTATAGCAAAATTATTATGCACATATATACATTTTTTATATTATTTTCCAATATGGTTTATTATAGCATACTGCATATGGTTCTCTGCTGTACAGTAGGATCTCCTTGTACTGTGCATTTTAAATAACTTTTAGTACTTTCCCTGGTGGCTCAGATGGTAAAGAGTCCGCCTGCAATGTGGAAGACCTGGGTTCAATCCCTGGGTTGGGAAGATCCCCTGGAGAAGGGAAAGACTACCCACTCCAGTATTCTTGCCTGGAGAGTCCCCACGGACAGAGGAGCCTGGCGAGCTGCATGCAGTCCACTGGGTCGCAGAGAGTCAGACACGACTAAGCAACTAAGCATACAGACGACTAACCGTGTGTTTGTTTGTTTAACCAGTAAATAATGTAAATAAGTCACAGTGACACTCTTCTGGACACTGTGTCCCCAGCGTTATAGCAAAGGGGGTGGGACTGTGCTTAAGAAACATGAAGTCTCATGAGCATTCAGGAGCTGTGTATAGTGAGAGGTATTTTTCGGAATTTATTGACTTTTTTCCAGCTTTTCTCTTAAGACTTTTCGGAACCTAGTCCACCTGTTGCCAAAAATAGTGGAACCTTAGATGTTATCTAAGATAACATCACTTGTAAAAGGATCTTTTATTTCATTTTTCTCACTCTTTATCCTTTTCTTTTGTACCCCTTCCAGGCAGAAAACAAAGGGGAAAATGAAACGGATGAAGGTGATAAAGCACAAGACGGAGAAAATGAAAAAAATAGTGAAAAGGAACAGGATAGTGAAGTTAGCGAGGATACTAAATCAGGTACTTTGAGCAAACTCTTTGGACTTTATTATGTAAAACACTAAAAGCACTGGAGAAATGTGAGCAGTTAAATGGTATAGAAATAGTCTTAAAAAAAAAAGAAATAGTCCTTCATTTGCTGCATGTTTCTTAACATAACAGTAAATATGGATTTGAGTTTTATTTTGCACTGAAGCACCATCACCATGCTGGTGACTACACTGTTTTCAGCGATTCAGAGACAAACAAGTTGTTTGGCTGTGACTGAAGTCAGTACTTTTTTCTTTCCAGTTCGTTGCTGGTATGTCCCATCCTGCCTGACTTGAAAGGCTTCCAGAGGTGCCTGTTCTCGGCTTCTGATTTCCTACAGACCCTAGGATTTCCCAGAGCATCTCATTGACTGATGAGTCTTAGACCTAAGACTAAGACTGAGATCTAAGACATTTTGGTCTTAGGACTTAGCTCCCCTGAATTTTCCTTTATATCCAAGGGAAACTACATAGAGAGCTCAGAGAAGACAGAGTGTGCTATTTAGAAAATCCATCTCAAATAGAAGCTGACTTACATTCATGGAGTGGATCAACAGAAATCTTAAGGGAAAGGCACTGAGATCTCTTTGTAACATCAGTCCTAGTTCGTTATGTGGCAGAGGTGAGAAGTAAGATGGCTTATTCAAACTGGGCACACTGGTAATAAAGCTTTCTGATTTTTTCCCCCCAGAAGAAAAGGAGACTGAAGAGAACAAGGAACTCACTGATTCTTGTAAAGAAAGAGAAAGTGATGTTGGGAAGAAGAAAGTAGAACATGAAATTTCTGAAGGAAATGTAGCCACAGCCGCAGCAGCTGCTCTTGCCTCAGCTGCAACGAAAGCCAAGGTTTGCCCCTGACAGCTCTTTTCCTAGTGCTCTCTTAAGCCATGAATGGCTGTATTGTTTTGATGTTACTGGGAATATTTAGTATAGAGAGCCTCGCATCTCATAGGAGATGATTGTTTGTTCGAATGACATTTCTAGGTTAAGAATTCCATGGGCAGGAGGAAGGTGAAAATAGCCGACCTGGGCCTAAATGGTGGCTGCTTTTGATTCATTCATTGTGTCATTCATTCAGTCTTCTGAAGACTGCAGTGATTGAAGGCAGAATTTAAAGTCTCTCAAATGTGCCTGCAGAACTTGTCTTGGACTATAGTTTCAATAATTTCTACCAGATTGAAATATTTGTAATTTTTAAGACAAAAATCTGTTTCCTTGTATAAATACTTCACCCTGCTCTTAGAGACTGGAAGGAACAAGAAGGAACCTAAAATAGCTTTTTTCTTCTCGAATTTGCCAGCTTTTCTGGGGGTGGTTTTCTCTATTTATAACACGGTATTGGCTTCCCAGCATATTTAAGAAGAAAAGAGAATGTTATTTTCCCTGCTTTGTGTTAAGTTAGCACTTTAAAGCTTTCCAGGCATGAATATGTCAAGTTTAAAAAACCTATTTACCCCCTTTCTATTTTACCCTCAAAAGTAGTCTCCTTTCATTATAGGTCACCACATTTTAAGCAGTGGTTACTAGGACATGGCTAATCATTTTATCTGGACCTGTTCTTGATCCATTGGTAAAGATGTTTTTAATGGTGTTTAGTTACCCGGACTGTTTAGATGTTGTAAACTGTTTCTCCAAGTGTTTAATCTGTGTGGCATGGCTTATAACATGCCACACAGATCCATTGATGACCCAGTTCAAACCATAAGAGCACTGTTTTGAGTGCCTGCCCATCTGATGTAGGTCAGACGGTGTTGGGGAGGGTTGCTCATGGGTCACAGAATTGTTCAGTCAGATACCCCAGCTGAGTGTTACTTCACAGTAGATTGAGGTCTTGCATATGCATACTAGCCAGTCTCTTCCAAAGATGTGTCCTGATCTTCATGGTTCTTAAGTATAATTTTAGGTATTCGCTCTTGTCTGCCACCCCCGATGTCTAGGAATTCGTGAGAGGTACTCTTGTTTAAGTGAATACTGATGGGGACAGCAATTTGACTGTTGTTTCATATTTGTTTGGTTTTGTTCTTCCTTCATTGGAAGCATTTTTTGAGTCTCTCTTCTGCCAGGTTCGACTCCTGGCTATCTCAGTGTCTCTAAGCTGTCCAAGTTATTTCTGTTCATGCTGTCATCAATTCGGCATGTTTTCTCGAAAAATGAGCCAAGCCAGGAGGGTTTCCCTCATTTGTGCCTTTGCATCGAAAGACACAGCCGTCCACCCAGTCTTCACTCAGGTCACCTTTGCATTGAAGTATAAGTTAGACACAAATAAGTAGATACATACGTCTACAACTAGTAAATTTTTTCACAGGCTGAACCCACCTGTTGACTCATAAATAGCACCCATGTCAAGCTGTATATATAATCTTACCTGCTCAGCATTAGCCTCTTCATATCCCTTCCAGTGACTGCTTCCCTTCAGAAGTAGATGCTGCCTGCCTCCTAACAAGTTACTTCTTATGAAAGAAATCATATGCAGAAAAACCTTTAAAAATACCAATATGAACATAGTACTTTCTTAAGTAACCTCTCTGTCTCTTCAGGCTCGAACTCCTTAGGGAATTTGGGGATCTTCCCTGATCAGGACCCTTCTCAGTTCTCAAGTGTCATTTCTCGCCCGTCTGTCCTGAACTCTCACTGTCCTTTCCCATTATTTTTCCTCCCCATACTACTCTGTGTGCATCACTGTAAGTTGCCAAAGAAGGAATTAAAGTGGTAGATGACCATAAAAAGTCTCAAAAGTCTTTCTGTGCTTTGGGCACAAACGTTTGTACCATTGACCACCTTGCCACTGCTGTTTGACTCCTTCATTACAGAGGAACTGCTCTTACGGATCAATTACCATGGCCCTTGGTTAGTCCGGACAAGGTTTAGAAGAGTGTCCAAAGAACATTTTCTGTCCAGGTCACTGAATTTCCACTCCCTTATCAATCATTCACTCCTTATTTCTAATAGACTGGGAACTTGAGTCTTCATTCTTGGAACACCTATGTCTTCCACTGACTTGTGAAAATGTTACAGATGCTCACACTACATGACTTGGCACATGAATTGTTCCCTGATACTTACAGCTTGATCTGATATATTTCACAGCACACATAATCATTTTTGTGCTACATGGTAATTAAGGAGTAAGGAATTTACTTAAATTACTGTGATTAGTACAACTTATCTAGGCTATCCAAGTTTTCTGTTGTTCTTGTTTTTGTTCTTCTGCGTCTATAAACAGCTTTGTTATTAAGAGTTTTCCTTGATACATTTTAATTGTTTATCACACTCTGACATGGAGTGGTAATTAGAGGTTCTAGATCTAGCTCCAAAACATATAGAGTGGGCATGCTTTCCCCATCCTTGCCAGATGAGGGGTTTCTGGGTAGAAAGATCCACTTTTTCATTCCACCTGCTGACAAGCTGTGGGCTAACTCACCTGAAGAGCAGTGTGTGGGTGTGAGAAAGCGCTGCTGGCTTAGTGCTCCCCCTGCTTTCCATCTGGGTTTAGGTGGAAGAAACCGTCCAGAACTACCGCTGAATAAACTTAGAAACTCCAGAAAAGAGAATATGTCCTCCTTTACCAGTAGCAGTAGGATTCAGTTCTCATAAGATAGCAGAAATCACATAGACATTTACTTCAGGTTTTTTTTCTGCTACCATGCCATCTCCACCTACTTTAAAAAGGATATTTGTCTTCATGGTAACTGGGTATTTGTTTTAGGACATCAGGAAGATTTTTCTTCTTATCCCTCAGAAATACATCATAACTTGCTCCCTTAATGCCTGAAATTCTCTCTCAAGATAGGAAAATTGTATCTTTTTCTCATTTTACATGAAGTTAACCGGAACACATTTTTCAATAGCATGTGTAGGATTTTGAGTTCTTGATTTTGGAAATTCGCCTTTATTTTGCACCTCATTAGGTTGTACTTGAAATTCTAGACTGAAGTTTATTATCCATCAAAATTTGGAAGGCATTTTTACCTTTGTTTTCAAAAACCTAGTTTTCCTTTTGAGAAGTCTATCATAGTCTGAATTTTTGTTTGTAACCTTTTTCTGTTTTTGGTCTGTTTGAAAATTTTTAGGATTTTCAGTCTTGTGTTCTTAAATTTCCAAAGTTCATTGCTGTGGATCTTTTCTTTTTTAATGTTTATTTTCTTACATGGTAATAATCCCTTTGTGTTTGATAACTTGTGATCTTCAGTTTTGAGAGGAAGTATTTTGCTGTATTTATTTGCTAATGAGTGGGGATGTCCCGAAGTTCCTTGGCTTCCCTTGCATCTCAGCTGGTAAAGAATCTGCCTGCAATGCAGGAGACCTGGGTTCGATCTCTGGGTTGGGAAGATCCCCTGGAGAAGGGAAAGGCTACCCACTCCAGTATTCTGGCCTGGAGAATTCTATAGACCATAGTCCATGGGGTCGCAAAGAGTCGGATACAACTGAGCGACTTTCACTTTCATTTTCCCTAAGTTCCTGTATTTCTCTCAAGAAAGTAGAACATTTTCTGCCAAATCCAGCAGAGTTCTAGAGTTCCCATTCTCATTTCAAAAAGCAAAACAAAACTAGAAACTGGTAGCATTAGTCTCTTGTGAAGGAAGAGACACAAGTGAGAAGGAAACTTACTTTTTATTTTACACCTCCTTGCATATTGAATTTTATATCACATCAGAAGTACAGAATTATAACACTGTCAGAGTAGGCTTAGAATCATGTAATCTTTATTTCAACTTTTGGTATTATTGATGCAGGTTAATGTAGTTTAAGGAGGCAACATGACCATTAATAGCTATAGATTCTTTCATAAAATCTTTCGCCTACACTTCTGAATCTTCCTGCAGATAAGTCTCCAAAAATATAAAACTATTTTTCTTTATCAACTATAAAAGAATGAAAAATAAGGCCGTTATTTAATAAGTGTTCTCTTTAGTTCCCCAAAACCTACATTAATCTCCTTGTGCATGTTCACTCCTTCTAGATTTTATAAGAAATACAGATTAGTAAGACAGCCACCCTGTGTTAATTCTCAAAACCTTGTGTAGAAGCAAGATAAGCGCACAAACTCAGCTGATAAAATAGTGGAAAATAGTGTTGAGGCGTGTTGCTGTAAGCTCTTGGGTGGTCTCTGGAGAAGGTGGGATTGATCTTTTGCACATAGTCAGGACATTGGCCAAGTATGGGATCCTCGTCCACTCTGGGTGGTCCTCAGTCTTCTCTGAGTGATGTGACATCTTCCTCTGGGTGCTGCTGAGTTGACAGAAAATGAGAATAGGACTCATCAGTCCTGTTGCAGAGAGTGAGTGGTACATTCTTCCAGAATGTCTTCCTGTATATCTTCAAACTGTAGGTGAAGTATTGTTCAGCTCCTTTCCTCCCTGTTCCCAGTAGGCCCTCACTAGGCGCATTGGGTGCTGAGAGAGACCACTGCTTGCCTGCCCCTGGACAGTTGCTAAGGAGAGAAAGGCAGACTTACGAGTGAGGGTTGGAGACAGGCTCGGTGGTGGATGGGGAGGTGCCCCGCAGGCCATTCTGTCCTTCTCTGTGCCCGTCCAGGCCTGGACTCATCTCTCCTCCCTCTCCTCATTCTACTGTCTTTGAGGAGAGTAGACTTTCATGGTAGAAGTTGCCTTTTAATTTTTAAAAAGGGTTGGTTTATATCTGTCAAGTACTAGAAATTGAGGTATGGATAGTTGTTAAATTGAAATAAATGGTAGAAACTTACAAAGAGGGCATCTAGGGCACCATTCTTAATTACATAATTCCCACTTCCAGTAGCAATTTCAGCATTGTCTTACTGTTTTGTTTTGTTTTGTCTCACTGTTTTCTAAGCAAACATTTACCTAAATACTTCAAATGTTTTTTTGCCCTTAGCACCTTGCTGCTGTGGAAGAGAGAAAGATCAAGTCTCTGGTAGCTCTCCTGGTTGAGACACAAATGAAGAAACTGGAGATTAAGCTTCGACATTTTGAAGAACTAGAAACTATCATGGACAGAGAGAAAGAAGCTGTAAGTAATGGGAATTTTATAGTGGCTTTTTGACAGTTAACTTGGATCACTTTTCATAAAATAGAAACTAAAGAAAATATGATAACCTAATTTGTTGGTCTCCATCGCTATCATTTAACTTTTTCTGTATTTCCTTTGCCCTTTCAAAAGGATTATCAGTCAGTAATGGTAAATTAAAGGAAGTCTGAAAATAACTATCTAAACCTCAGTTTCTTACACTTCTTGGCTTTGTAGATACTTGAAGGTGTCAGATTCTCCCTTCTTCAGTAGTCAGATCTTAGACTTACTGTGTTACTTATGTGTTATGTTCCCTCTCTTCTATGGAAAACCAGGTCTAGAGGAGTAATTGTAAGCAGCATTTTGGGGGGTATACATTTTTGATATGCCCGAAACAGGACCAAAAGAATTACAGCAAAGGCCAAGAAGAAGAAGAGAAACCACAAGAAATTAGAAACATAGAAGCAGGGAAACATTTGATTATCTGAAGGAACTTTTTTTTTTTTTTTTTTTTTGAGAAACAGAGATGAAGTTCTCTGGAGAAGTTTTTTTTGTTTGTTTGTTTGTTTTTTTTGATGAGTTGACCAGGAAAGTCATGAGTTGATGACTTTTCTAAATAATGGCTAAATTTGAGGATTTAGCACTTAGGAATTTTTCGGATTGTTTTGACTTCTTTGTGAGTATGCCATATGCTGGTATCTCTAAATGAGACAACCTTAAACCATTCCAGAAGAGTTTTAATCTTAAGGATCCATTTGCATCTATTGCACTCTTTCTTTGTTGTCAGTCCAGGCAAGTCCTCTCTCAGATTCATGTTGACTAGCTCAGGAACTATCACAGTAGCCCATTTTCCTGCCTACATTCTGGCCCTGTGAAGAATATGCTGCTTCCGTAACTATCCTGCCCACACCCTGTGCCCTCTTATCCCCAGTCCCGTAGCCCTGTAAGTATCTCTAATATCCCCTGCCCTCTCCTGTCCCAGGAGCTTCTGGCCACCCTGTCCCATCTGCGTCTCTGAGCACCAGCCATGCCGCTGCACACCAGATGTAGGCTGCTGTCATGGCTGTGTGCACCTGCTCTTCCACCAGCAAGGTGTTTTTCCTGCTCTTTGCCAGCCTCCTGCACCTGTGGGTGACTTGTCCTCTGTGTCTGCTGCTGAGGCAGCCTAACAGAGCACTTACTGTATTGTAAATGCTAGTTCATGCACATGCCTCCCTTACCAGAGTATATACTCTTTCTTGAATGTCTTGTTCACACACAACTAGCACATCATGGGTGCTTGTGTAAATGTCTGTCAAATGAATACATCAGTGTCAGAAGCTGGGAAAGTGGAAAAGAAAGTTTAACTTTGGGGACTTGACTTTAGTTTAACAGCGAAAACAGAGAACAGGTGACAGTATTGTGTGTTCAGTTCCTGTGGGAACATACCTGGAAGACGTGGAGAGGATGTTAGAGAAGACATCAAGAGGTGAGCTGGAACTTTGAAGAATGAGTGCATGTGTTTATCTTACCCTAAGAAGCTGCCCTTGTGTCATTTGACAGACTCTTACAGGGTATTTGGAATAACAGGGAGCAAATAGCTGTGAAAAGAAGAGAAGCGAAAAGCAAAGGAGAAAAGGAAAGATATACCCATCTGAATGCAGAGTTCCAGAGAATAGCCAGGAGAGATAAGAAAGCCTTCCTCAGCGATCAGTGCGAAGAAGTAGAGGAAAACAACAGAAAGGGAAAGACTAGAGATCTCTTCAAGAAAATTAGAGATGCCAAGGGAACATTTCATGCAGAGATGGGTTCGATAAAGGACAGAAATGGTATGGACCTAACAGAAGCAGAAGATATTAAGACGAGGTGGCAAGAATACACAGAAGAACTATACAAAAAAGATCTTCATGACCCAGATGATCACAATGGTGTGATCACTCACCTAGAGCCAGACATCCTGGAATGTGAAGTCAAGTGGGCCTTAGGAAGCATCGCTACGAACAAAGCTAGTGGATGTGATGGAATTCCAGCTGAGCTATTTCAAATCCTGAAAGATGATGCCGTGAAAGTGCTGCACTCAATATCCAGCAAATTTGGAAAACTCAGCAGTGGCCCCAGGACTGGAAAAGGTCAATTTTCATTCCAATCCCAAAGAAAGACAATGCCAAAGAATGCTCCCTAAGAAGGCAGTTAGGGAATATACAGAGGTTGTCTGGGAACCGACAAGATGAAAACTACTGACCCCAGTTAAGGTGAGGATGCTGAGCTGGCCCTGGGTTCAAAACTCAAGAGAGTCTGCCCGATTGTGCAGCCTTCCATGCCAAATGGATGGCACACGTCCTTCAAGGGAACAGGTGACAGACATGGGCTCTGTTGCAGGTTGGAGAGAACTGGAGGGCCTGGGCCCTACCTACAGCATTCTTACTTGAATTCAAGGGGAGGAAATACTTGGAGGCCCATGAGGATCTGTGTCTTGATTTCATTTATAGCTTCTGGACTTGATGGCTCTCATTTGGCTAGGTACAGAAATCGTATACCTTCTGAAAGAGAGACACTGTAGGAAACTCAAACCTGTGAGAAACCTTCTGGAAGTGACGGTAGATGAGAAACTGACATAGAGATAGCACATGAGGTAAGGAGGCCAAGGGAGTTCAGAGGAGGCTGTGATGTAAAAATTCATGTTGGTAACACAGATTGTCAGATCAGAGTTGTTTCAGTCATGGCTTTCTCAGGCAAACGTACCTGCTTATTTCTATGAGATTTAGAAATTCTGCCATTTGAGGAAGTCAGGTCAACTGACGTTAGTAACATTGAGAATCTTCTCAGGCTTCCAAGGGTCTTCCTATTTTTATTTCAGCTGAGCTCTGCACACCTCGGCCAGAGAGCCTGCATCCCACTCTAGAAAGTATAGACTTTGGCTCTGGAGGCACCTGACACATTACCATAAAGTACCTATAAAAATCTTACAGGAAAACTGTTACTAGAGCAGTATAGTATACCACACAGCCACATATATTACCTTCCATCAAGGGAAGGAATATGGAAAGAGATGCTGCAATTAAAGGTATATTTTATGTTTTAATGATGTCAGCAGTTTGAAAGAATTGTGAGCTCAATTTTCAAGGTAGTTAAAATGCAGTAAATAGTTGCCAACTAGCTCAAGGTCATCCATGAGCTAAAAGATGGGACAAATTCAGGATTGCCTCCGATTGTCAAGGAGATCTTTCTGGTAGAGGAAGTACTGATCTGAGCTGGTTATTTTTTTTAAAAATGGTCCAAATCCAAAACTGTGAAGAGGAAGGTATGGTTGCTAAGGAAGCCAAGAGTCTCCTTAGACTACTTAGATCTACTGCCTAGATCTGGCAGTATGCATGGCATAGACAGTGGATTAAGTTCATTAGTTAGCGAATGTTTATGAACACCTACTTTGTTCTAGGCATGTTAGGTACTGGGGATACACTGGTGAATAAAACTGTTTGCCTTACTTACTAGACCTTAAATACTAATGAAGGATGATAGATGTTGTATGCTGTATATCTGTATGCATGTGTGTTACTGTGTATGTATACATACCGTTTGTTGGCATATTGAGTGCAGCACTTTTACAGCATCATCTTTCAGGATTTGAAATAGCTCAACTGGAATTCCATCACCTCCACTAGCTTTGTTCATACTGATGCTTTTTAAGGCCCATCTGACTTCACATTCGAGGATGTCTGGCTCTAGGTGAGTGATCACACCATCGTGATTATCTGAGACTGGAAAAGGTCAGTTTTCATGCCAGTCCCAAAGAAAGGCAATCCCAAAGAATGCTCAAACAACCTCACAACTGCACTCATCTCACACACTAGTAAAGTAATGCTCAAAATTCTCCAAGCCAGTCTTCAGCAATACATGAACCGTGAACTTCCAGATGTTCAAGCTGCTTTTGGAAAAGGCAGAGGAACCAGAGATCAAATTGCCAACATCCACTGGATCATCAAAATAGCAAGAGAGTTCCAGAAAAACATTTACTTCTGCTTTATTGACTATGCCAAGGAAGCAGCAGTTAGAACTGGACATGGACCAACAGACTGGTTCCAAATAGGAAAAGGAGTACGTCAAGGCTGTATATTGTCACCCTGCTTATTTAACTTCTGTGCCGAGTACATCATGAGAAATGCTGGGCTGGAAGAAGCACAAGCTGGAATCAAGATTGCCAGGAGAAATATCAATAACCTCAGATATGCAGATGACACCAGCCTTACGGCAGAGAGTGAAGAGGAACTGAAAAGCCTCTTGATGAAAGTGAAAGAGGAGAGTGAAAAAGTTGGCTTAAAGCTCAACATTCAGAAAACTAAGATCATGGCATCTGGTCCCATCACTTATGGCAAATAGATGGGGAAACAGTGGAAACAGTGTCAAACTTTATTTTTTTTCTCCAAAATCACTGCAGATGGTGATTGCAGCCATGAAATTAAAAGACGCTTGTTCCTTGGAAGGAAAGTTATGACCAAATTAGATAGCATATTAAAAAGCAGAGACCTTACTTTTCCAACAGAGGTCCATCTAGTCAAGGCTATGGTTTTTCCAGTGATCATGTATGGAGGTGAGAGTTGGACTGTGAAGAAAGCTCAGCGCCGAAAAATTGATGCTTTTGAACTGTGGTGTTGGAGAAGACTCTTGAGAGTCCCTTGGACTGCAAGGAGATCCAACCAGTCCATCCTAAAGGAGATCAGTCCTTGGTGTTCATTGGAAGGACTGATGTTGAAGCTGAAACTCCAGTACTTTGGCCACCTCATGTGAAGAGTTGACTCATTGGAAAAGACCCTGATGCTGGGAGGGATTGGGGGCAGGAAGAGAAGGGGATGACAGAGGATGAGATGACTGGATGGCATCACCAACTCGATGGACATGAGTTTGAGTAAACTCTGGGAGTTGGTGATGGACAGGGAGGCCTGGCGTGCTGCGATTCATGGGGTCGCAAAGAGTTGGACGCGACTGAACTGAACTGATAACATACCATTATGTTTCAGGATGGGTAG